CTGGAGGTGGCTCCTGGTGGTCGTGGCTGCTCTGGGGCCCGGGAGGGTCCATGCAGGGTGTGACACCTGCAGAGGTGACACCTGCAGAGGTGACACCTGCAGAGCTGCTCCCCACGGGGTCCCGGGCTGGGCATCGGTGGCCCCTGGGCATGGGAGGAGCTCGGGCAGGTCCTGGGCCTGATCCGGGCTCTGAGCTCAGAGATGTCGGGGTGGCTTTGGTTTGTCCAGACCTGCTTGTCCCTGCACGGGGGGCTGTGGGTGTGACCGTGGGTGTGGCTCTGGCCGTGGGTGTGGCCGTGGGTGTGGCTGTGGATCTGGGTGTGGCCGTGGGTGTGGCTCTGGGTGTGGCCGTGGGTGTGGCCGTGGCTGTGGCCGTGGGTGTGGCCGTGGCTCTGGGTGTGGCCGTGGGTGTGGCTCTGGGTGTGACCGTGGGTGTGGCTCTGGGTGTGGCCGTGGGTGTGGCCGTGGGTGTGGCCGTGGCTGTGGGGGCTCCCCCAGGCCTGCTGGGATGGGGGTGCAGGGCAGGTCCCACCTGTGGGGGTGCGGGGCGGGTCAATCGGGACCCCCCAAGACCCCTCTGGGACCCCCCCAGGGACACTCGGGACCCCTCCAGTCCCACCCAGGACCCCCTTGGGGACCCCAAGGACCCCCCGTGTGCAGGTGTGTGGCCAGAGGGGCTCAGGACCTGCTCCCCCTGGCCCGGAGCTCCCCCTGGCCCGGACCCTGCTGCAGATTTTGCTGCAGTTCCCACCCAGAGCCTCTCCCGTGGCCGCTCCGGGGACCTTCATTCCGAAAATCCTTTCTGGATTTTTTTTTTTCCCTCGCAAGGCAGCGCCGTGAGGCCGTGGCAGGGAGTGCTGTGAGAGCACAGGGACTCTGCTCTCCCCGGGCCCCACTCGGCTTTCAGGCCGGATCATTTCTCATTTTCTATTTATTTATTTATGATTGCCTCGGGGAGGTGTCGGTGTCCCTCACTGCCCTGCCCGTGACACCTCCCAACCCCGGGGTCCGTGTGCCCAGAGCCTCCCTGAGCTCCCGAAATCCCCGGGGGTGGCTGCGTGGATAAAGCAGCACCAGGACGGGCGGGTCCCGTGCCAGGCAGGAAAGAAAATGGATTTTTTTTGGGGGGCGATGCCGTGCTGCCCTCAGCCATCCCCCCGTGCCCAGGTGAACCAGGGGAACATGCCTGGCATCCAGAGCACCTTCCTGGCCATGGACACGGAGGAGGGCGTGGAGGTGGTGTGGAACGAGCTGCTCTTCACCGACAAAAAGGCCTTCAAAGCTCACGAGGTGAGAGCCGAGAGCCCTCCTCACCTTCCTGGGTGGGCCAGGGGGGCACCTGGGCCTGGCACCGCCCCCTCCTCGGCTTCTGCCTCACGGGGGGACCTTGGCACCCAGCCCGGTGTCCCTGTGCCAGCCCCTCACCTGTCCTGACACAGCCCGGGCCACCTCACCTGTCCTGTCCC